TGACCTTCTACCAGGAAAGTCGCTTACTGATCTAGAATATGCCGATGACATAGTTCTATTCGGTGAAGACGCTGACAAAATGCAGAGTCTTCTAACTACCATAAGCAACAATGCGAGCATGTTCGGGATGCGGTTTTCCCCCTCGAAATGCAAAATGTTGCTTCAAGACTGGGTTGCTTCGGCACCTGAACTAGTGATAGGGAGTGAAGTAGTCGGGCGTGTAGATCACTTCACTTATCTGGGGAGTCTCAACAGTGCTGACGGTCTGGTGACTGACGAAATCTCAGCTCGGATACAGAAGGCTCGATTGGCCTTTGCCAACCTGCGTCACTTATGGCGTAGGCGTGATATCCGTTCGCTAACCAAAGGGCGGGTGTACTGCGCAGCAGTTCGTTCCGTTCTCTTATATGGCTGTGATACATGGCCGTTAAGAGTAGAAGATGTTCGTAGGTTACTAGTATTCGATGATAGATGTTTAAGAAACATTGCTCGTATATCGTGGGACAGCCGAGTAAGCAATGCTGTCGTTAGGAAAAGAGTACTAGGTAAGGATGGCACATCAATAGATGAAGTGGTGAAACTTCATCAGTTGAGGTGGTTGGGACATGTGTTACGTATGCCTAACCACCGACTGCCTCGACGACCTATGTTTTGTGGTGTAGGAGTAGGTTGGAAGAAAGATAGGGGCGGCCAGACCAAAACATGGCAGAAATCCATGAAGTCACTGACAAGTGGACTGAGTCATGTTGGTAGATGTAGACTACCTGGTTGGGGTCCGCGAGACGAAAGTCATCAATGGTTAGAGACCTTGAACGACATGGCTCAAAATCGTTTGCAATGGCGCAGGTGCATCCACTCTTTGTGTTCTCTCAAATCCTAATCTTCTGGGTTCGTCAGCACCTCTACTTTGTCTTTCTAACCTTATCTCACTGAATTATACTTCTTGAATAATATCTTAAACCCTAGTCTTCTTTATTATAACATTAATACCTCTACCATCTTTATCACTATGGGATTTGATTTGACATTTGCGTCTCTGTGCTAATAATGTGGTATGGCAACATGAACTTATGTACATACGTACGAAGTTCTACGTTGCAACTGACTGACTGACTGAAGAGAGCCTAACATCACAAAAGGAGGGAGGGTGGTGTATCTGACCTGCATTCATGACGGTGGGTCGATAACCTCAATCTACCCATGTCTGTGTGGCAGAACATTTTGTTTGCTTACGGCTCCTTACGATATAGCAGGACGTAACAAATCAGTGATATTGATGTTACTTTTCCTTGTAAACCTCGTCTACAACTCATATCTGTAACCTTGCACTGGATTTTACTTCCTACCGAGAAATCCTATTACAAGCTGGTCTGGATAACTATACTAAAAAGAGCTCATTCATAATTTCTTGAGCCGCAGAGTTAAAAATAAAAAGAATAAACAAAATAAAAAAAATTATATCACTGAGCCTCTTTATTATATTTTGCAAATCAACATTATTACTAACAACTTGGTTCTTCTGAATTTCCTCTATTCTTTCCACTAACTTCCCACCAATAATTTGTCTTCATTAACCTACATAAGTGCAGGTGTACAGTTATGATATTAAAAAAATCTGAGTAAACACACCTTTGTTTTATCCATATACGTATTTTCTGTTCCGCTCCTCGTCCCGTTTTCTTTATCCCTCTTTTTTTCAGAACTTTATTCCACTCATCATATATTAGTCTGCATATTTGCAGCAGACCTGGTTACCCTACCCAAGAACATGTGAAATCATTTGTTGATGAATATCAACCTTACCTTTGTACATTTATCGCATCAATTCTTGTTATATGAAAACCCATCTGTACCATGAATCGTCCCTTAGTCCAAAAGATGATTGTCGTAACGCAACCTTCGTAACTTGCGCCAGTTCTTCGCATTGAACATTCCAACTTTAAGAACACAATGAATCTTGTGAAATGTTTCAGTAACTGCATATCGTTTTAAAAGAAATATGTTGTTAATCTTAACATTTTGATCTTGCCTGTAAATTGGCATGTCTCTTGTAACATGTTTGTTATTTGAGAATAAATTATTATTATTATTATTATCTCGGAAAAGGATGGTCTTATTATCCATTCTCAATCTAGGAGGCTGGACCGATGGGCAGAACACTTTAGGGATCAGTTCAACTGGCCTCGAGCCACACTTCGGTTGCCCACGATCTCCAGTCAGCCTGAATGGCAAATCGATTTAAGTCCTCCCAGTTTACATGAAGTCGAGAAAGCTATAGGAAATGTAAGGGGAGGTAGAGCGGCAGGTCCTGATAGGCTAACACCTGAGATGTTTAAGGATGGTGGTCCAGTTTTAACGGTTAGACTGACCGAGATCCTGGGTAGAATCTGGGAACTGGACGTAATCCCATCTGACTGGTCTCAGTCGCTAATTGTCCCAATTTACAAGAAAGTACAGAATTCCTCTTGTGACAATCACAGGGGAATAAGTTTAACTAATATAGTTTCTAAATTGTTAGCCTCGATTATACTTAGACGACTAACTAGAGCTCGTGAATATCAGACTACAGAAAACCAGTCTAGTTTTCGACCTGGACGTGGTTGTATAGACCACATCTTCACACCACGACAGGTCCTGGAACACAGACACCCATTTAGACGTCCGACAATAAATGTTTTCCTGGACCTAAAGGCGGCATTTGACCCGGTAGATCGTGAGGTTCTGTGGCAGTGTCTGTCATTGAAAGGTGTACCAAAGAAGTACATTAACCTTATACAAACACTCTACTTGAACACCACTGGTCGGGTGAGAGCTTATGGCGAACTGTCATCTGAATTCTCCACATCAAGTGGTGTCCGTCAGGGATGTCCACTCCCTCCATTCTTGTTTAACTTTGTCGAGGACATCCTCTTAGAGTTATCATTAAGCTCGTCAGATTTTTCAGGGGTTGACCTTCTACCAGGAAAGTCGCTTACTGATCTAGAATATGCCGATGACATAGTTCTATTCGGTGATGACTCTGACAAAATGCAGAGTCTTCTGACTACCATAAGCAACAATGCGAGCATGTTCGGGTTGCGGTTTTCCCCCTGGAAATGCAAAATGTTGCTTCAAGACTGGGTTGCTTTGGCACCTGAACTAGTGATAGGGAGTGAAGTAGTCGGGCGTGTTGATCACTTCACTTATCTGGGGAGTCTCAACAGTGCTAACGGCCTGGTGACTGACGAAATCTCAGCTCGGATACAGAAGGCCCGATTGGCCTTTGCCAACCTGCGTCACTTATGGCGTAGGCGTGATATCCGTTCGCTAACCAAAGGGCGGGTGTACTGCGCAGCAGTTCGTTCCGTTCTCTTATATGGCTGTGATACATGGCCGTTAAGAGTAGAAGATGTTCGTAGGTTACTAGTATTCGATGATAGATGTTTAAGAAGCATTGCTCGTATTTCGTGGGACAGCCGAGTAAGCAATGCTGTCGTTAGGAAACGAGTACTAGGTAAGGATGGCACATCAATAGATGAAGTGGTGAAACTTCATCAGTTAAGGTGGTTGGGACATGTGTTACGTATGCCTAACCATCGACTGCCTCGACGACCTATGTTTTGTAGTGTAGGAGTAGGTTGGAAGAAAGATAGGGGCGGCCAGACCAAAACATGGCAGAAATCCATGAAGTCACTGACAAGTGGACTGAGTCATGTTGGTAGATGTAGACTACCTGGTTGGGGTCCGCGAGACGAAAGTCATCAATGGTTAGAGACCTTGAACGACATGGCTCAAAATCGTTTGCAATGGCGCAGGTGCATCCACTCTTTGTGTTCTCTCAAATCCTAATCTTCTGGGTTCGTCAGCACCTCTACTTTGTCTTTCTAACCTTATCTCACTGAATTATATTTCTTGAATAATATCTTCGAACCCTAGTCTTCTTCAGTAACAGTAATACCTCTACTATCTGTATCATTATGTGATTTGATTTGACGTTTGTATCTCTGTGCTGTGGTATGGCAACATGAACTTATGTACATACGTAAGAAGTTCTACGTTGCAACTGACTGACTGACTTACTGCTTTCTTCTCTGTTCGCAAACCGTGGTCGTAGATAGTCGTTAATGCGGGAAGCTTACTGAATTCTACAAATCAGTGATATTTCCTAGGCAGAGACCAAAGCCAATATTCACTGCAAACTACATGCAGTCGCATTTTTGAAAATCAACCACCGTAACATTCTTCATAAGCAATGTCTCCAGTAGTTTCACATCCATTCTACAACAAATGAATAAACTGAATGATGCACACACATTTGGTGACATGAATTAAGTTTTCACCTAAAAGAGACTTCTATTCATGAATATTTTTTACATGCATTTCACTGAACGATTGTTTTTCCAGTGTTTCAAGATGCTGCCTAACTATTTTGAGTTGATTCGGGAGATCAGTTTCATCACCGACTGACAACAACCACATAACATTTTGGTGTATAATACCATATCAAATGGTCTATGTAGCTTATCGAACAGTGCTAGTAGATTGAAAAAGGAATCTTCGCGATACCGAACTCGTATGATTATTGCAATTACCAGTGACGTCAATCTATGTATAACAATCTATCACTTCTTGATGAAGTAATGTTTATTTTCAGTTACACGTAGATATGAGTAAGTTGTGCGAGAACCGATTTCAAATCACTCTGTTTCAATGCTATTAGATATCTGATTCCAAGAATTTGGGATGGAAACGAGAAACTCAAGTAAATTATCTGCAACTCCTGAAGAACGTTTTGAACTACAAATGAGACAAGAAAATGATTTTAAATTTGATTATGACGTTGTTGTTACTCCGAATTTCTGAGCATACATATTCCATCGTATCTGAATGCAATGGTTGAGATGGATGCATATTAAATTATTCTACTATCATATGAACAGTTTGTGATGTCAGTCTGAACGAAATACAAAGAAACTTAACAATCATATGTTTCATCATTTCAATCAAAATCAAAACACAAATTATAGATGTAGTGTAAATTTATTCATTATCTGATTTAAACACAACCATAAAAATAAAATAGTGAACTTAAGGCGTACGTACGCTATACAATTCAGTATAGAGAAACAGAAAACTGAGTTTTTTTTCCAACTGAACCAAATGAGGATGCGTTTTTGAGCTTTCGGTAGAAGTTCCGTACAGTTACAATCTTCATTCTCCCATTATTATTTCACACAATAATCGTCGGAATCTGCAAATAATATACCAAATATGGTTAACCAGAGAAAGAGAAATAAATTTATTTTTTAAAGTTTTTGTTATACACTACAAGTGAAAGGAATTTAGTTTCACGGAAGACAGTAACAGACAAGTCAAAGGTTCAGATCAGAGATGTAAACTAGAAGAAATAGACGGAATTTTTCAAGAGTATGTAAATTCAACTCAATGAAAATTTGAATAAAACGATGATATATTCCACATTTGCAGCGTGTTCAAACATTCCATAGATGAATAGCCTTGGAAACCGTATTATTTTCGCACTTATGTCAAAAAGCACTAATCTATTCAATTAAAAATACTAACTTCACTGTGGTCAAATAACATAACCTAATAAAAGCGATTACTCGATTCACAAGAATTGATAACGCTGACTTTCCCTGGGCACAACTCTAAAAACGATATTCGCTGCAAACTACATGCAGTAGCAGGTTTGGAAATCAACTAAGGCAAAACATCACATCATGAGTGTCTTCAATATTTTCACATATGTTCTACAGAAGTTTACAAAATGAAAAAAGTACACATTCGAAGTGATGTCAACTGACTATTCACCAATAACGGACTTCCAATCTTGATTACCTGCATCCTGCATCACACGAAACCATAATCACTTACACGTGGTTAATTAATTCACTTTGCTTTTTAGAAATTTTTCTTTTATTGCGAGATTGGATTTTTCAAAAACTGACAACAACTTAACAAGATCCTGGTTCATTTCATCATATCGAATTTCCAATGATTGTGATAGAACAGTGCTGGCGGATATAGAATGAACAACGAGTATGCAAACCTTTTGGAAATTTCGTACTGAACAGTGCCAACACTGTCCAACAATCTCTCACCTACTATTAAAATAAGGTTTTTTCCCTGAAGTATTTGAAAATATAAGACAATGCAATTTTCTTATCTGTATTTAGAATATGCAAGAGAGACGATAAACTGAGGTTAATTATCAGCTAATCCTAGGAAAACTTTCAAATGACAAATAATACTTGAAAATAATTTTAAAAATAAAAATATCTGAACTCACATTTTCGCAATCAATATTGCACTACATAGCAGGTATTCCGTGAGATCATTCACCGAATGTGGCTAGGTTGAATGCATTTGATACAAAATTATTTAGGAACTGATGAATAACAAAACAATGATGTTCTATGAAAAATTTTTAAATAGAAGTTAGACGATTCGTAATTATTGATAAAGCTGATATTTGGTCGGCACAACCGCAAAACAACTGAAAACAACCAGTTTTTGCGCTTGTGGAGAAAATTTGTATCTCATTTGAATGATCGTGGCGCTGTTTCGTTCTCTTAGTTCAATGTTTCGGTCGTATAGCTTTCATTGTTCTTCTGAACATCATAATCAGCTCAAACTTCAGATGGAATTGAAGTATTTCAATTTTACCACGTTTGACCTGTTGCTTGTTCTGCTAACCTTGATCTTGAGTCGTTGCTGTTGAGCTTAAACCTGTCGTTTTTGCACCTTTGTTTTAGTTGTATCCCTATTTTGATCTGTTTCTTGATACTATGTCGCCTATGATTTTTCTGATTGTTTGATAAGTTGAGTCAATGTCGATGTGTTTGTTGGTTGCTAATTGACCTAAATTTCAAACTTCTAGAAATTCTCTAGTGTTCTATAAATTATTTCTACATTGTCGCAATGGTATGTATGTAAAGAATAGCCCGTGTGCATAGAAATAAGCGAAAACTGTCGTGACGTTGACTGCGAATTGAGTGTTCACGTAAAAGAAGCTGAAGAGGCCCTCCACTCTGTCCCATGTAGTGTTTCTCATAGTGTGAGCAATTTATTTTGTAGATGATGTTTGGTTTTTCTTCCTTTGTCATTTATTGAAGTGATTCTGTCGGTTTGTGTGCAACACCTATTTCAAATGGTTTCAGCAGTCGTGGTGAATGCTCTGATATGTCTTTTACGTATGGAGGAATGATCCGTTTATTGGTTTCTATACCACATTTCGCTTCCGCTGACCATTTTGGTTGATGTTTCTTGATGAAGCTGTGTAGGTGACCGTTCTTTTGAAAGATAGTCACTACATGACGAGCATACCGACGTTGACCTGATTTATCAAACCATCAGAAAAATCATAGGAGACACAGGAAACAGTTCATAATGAGCATATAAACATAACGAACGTTCGAACAACGACAGACTTAAGCTCAACAGCAACCAATTAAGATCGAGTTTAGCGGAACAAGCTAAAAGCAAAACGTGATGGAATTCGAATACTTCACTTCTACATGAAATTTGTGCTGATTATGATGTATGGAAGACGTTTGGAAGCTTCACAATCGAAATATACAACTTATGGAACGAAAAACCACCACAATACGAGGAGTCTTGCTACCGAAAACAAAATCAGGAAAGATTTACCGTCAGTCGTGTCATCGGCAGTATCGTATATATCCTATTGAAAAAATCCAATAAATGATGTACACACATGAGATGATGTGATTTGAGTATTCACCAAGAAGATACTTCTATCCTTGATTATTTCCAACATGCATACCGCTAAATCATTATAACATACACGTTTGTTCAGCATTCTAATATTGTCTTCAAAATAGTCAGCTTATTGACCGGATTGATTCATCGTGAACTTACAGGAAATATACAACATATTGTCACGAATTACCTCATGGAGTTATCAGAAAACCTAACTGAGCACTTCTTGTAGATATATAGAATAAACAAATAGTATAAAAAATCCTTGGTACTCGGCACCAGTATAACGCACTAGACAAACGTAGGACAACTGAGACTAGCTTCAAAGCAACTGCTGTTATACTCTGGTCATGAAGGGGAAAACGCTTCACAAACACATCGATGCTTTCCAAACATGCACAAAAGGCACTGATATGGTGGGTATCTCATGGACTCACGATTCTCAAAGCAGCCTTCAAAACAAAGAGAGAGGACATCACAACGAACATCATCCAATGCTATGCACCTTAAAATGAATACAATCACGACGGGAGAGATCAATGCTACGAAAGGCTGCGGTCAATCGTCGACAGATGCTCATCAAAGGATTCGACGATTGTGATGGAAGACCGAAATGCCAAGGTTGGAATGGACAATACTGGATATGAAGACATCATGGGATGACATGGACTGGAAGAAGCGAACGAAAACGGTGAGAGATTTGCTAACCTATGTGCCTTCAACAAACTGGTCATCAGTGGCCCAATATTCTGACACAAGCGCCTGTACAAAGCTACATGGGTTTCACCGGATCACTCTACTCAGAAACAAATCGACCATATATGTATCAAATAAACGTTCAGAAGGAAAAGGGAGTATATGAGAACTAAGAGCGGAGCTGATATAGCCTTAAATCACCACTTGCTGGTCGTCGAAATGAAACTGAAAATAAATAAGCACTGGACAACGTGGCCGACAACATCACACAAGTGTAATACAGCCTTTCTTCGGGATTCCGTTACACTCAACGAATTGAGGATAGTTCTTACTAATAGGTTCCAAGCTTTGCACGATATATTCAATGGAGAGGAAGCAACATTGAAGAACAATCGTGAGGGGATCAAGGAGGCAATCACTTGAACATGTCACGAACTCTGGGTCGCAGGAAATAACATGAAAAGGATTGAACCTTTGTTGGTACTCTTGAAATCATTGAAGAAAGAAGGAACAAAAAGGCAGCAATCAACGTCAGCCAAACAAGAGCAGAGAAATTCAACGCACAAGCTGCATACTCAGCAGTAGACGGGGAGTCTTAGAAGAGCATCTGAGCTGACAAATGAAAATATGTATAAAATCTAGCAATGACAGCGGAAAAAGATGCAAAAGACGGAAACTTGAGACAATTGTACGAAACAACAAAGAAGGTGGCTGGAAACTATCGTAAACAAGAACGTCCAGTGAAAAGGAAGGAAGGCAAAGTAATCAGCAACACTGAAGGACGGCGAAGTCGGTGAGTAATGCACTTTAGGTACCCTTGAGTCGACTAATTCCACTGAACCCACCCAGCATCGAGGCAGCATCCACCGACCTTTCAATCGATGTTGGTGCAACTTTAAATGAAGTGATCAATATGGCATTCAGACAATTCAAGATCGGCAAATCAGCGGGACCAGATAACATTCCAGCAGAGGCAATGAAAGCAGACAATGAAGCAACTGCGAAAATATTTCACATTCCCTTCAAAAAGATTTGGAATGTGGAACAAGTAACATCAGACCAGGAAGAGGGATAGCTGGTTACGATTCCAAAGAAAGGCGATTTCAACAAGTGTGGAAACTACAGAGGGGTCACTCATCTCTCAATTACGGGCAAAGTCTTCAACAAGGTTTCGTTTAACAGAATGAAGTACTTCGTAAGGATTGATCATGTTCTGACCGAACAGCGACATCACGTATTTGTGCAGAAATCAATGTAATGAAACTCACCACTCTACATAAATTTCATCGACTACGAGAAAGCATACGATAGCGTGGACAGGAAAACACGCGTTCGAGGTGAAGACCGGTGTCACGCAAAGTTGCGTACTGCCACCTATTTGGCCAGACACGATCAGCACCAACGTACTGTGGGAGAGATCAAACCAGATTTCACCAGAAAGGGAAATTAGGAAGAAGCGTTGGGAGTGGATAGGACACATTTTACGAAAAGAACCTAACGGAGTCACAAGACAAGCCCTCACATGGAAGTCCAAAGCGAAATGAAAGGTGGAAGTCCAAGGAACACATTACGCCGAAAAATGGAGAAAGACATGAATGAGAAAAATGAACGAAAATTGGACAGAATTGAAAATGGAAGCCCAGGACAGAGTTGGTTGAAGAAAACTGATGGGCGGCCTATGCTCCATTGAGGGTTAGCAGGCGAAAGTTGATACGTACGTAAGTATGACAAAATTCATAGAGTAATCGAAATTGAATTGACACTGCTGTGTAACACTCTGACTTTTAGAGTCAATGTATGTTATTTCGATTATGTGTAGATATAAGTCTGTTGTAAAAGTAATTATCTCAGCTTGTTGTGTTTCATTGCGATTTTGTTTTACTCTATCCAGTAGTACAAACGAGAAACTGAGTAAATTGACTTTACATGTTGAGGAGCATTTTCGATTAGAAGTGACACATGAAACTCATTGTAATTTTTTAAGAATACCCTTACTTACGAGTACATATTGATAACATTCAATACAATTATTTAATATTGTTGAAAGACATTTCACAACTTGAACATATTTCTCACGCATTAGTTTCTCTATTATTTCTTCATTATCCTTTGAAGCATTATCTAATTTTTTCTGTATGAAATACATTTGATGATAAAACAAGATTAATTGAACAATAATGACAAACACATCAATCATGTTCTATGGCAAAATCCTATAAGATCAATGTTAACAACTATCACAAACCGAGATAGGCGTTTACACGTTTCAAAATCATCCATCAAGCTGATATTTCCTATGCACAACTCTAAAACCAATATTCAAGTAGATCTTTATGAGGATGAACAATGCAAATTTCCCATAAGCAATGACATCGGTAAATTCACATATATTCTACAACAATAAATATGATAATCGATGTACACACATGACTTGGAGCTAATTTAGTATTCATCGAATACAGATTTCTATTCTTAATTATTTCCAAGTTGCATTACAATAAACAATCATTACTCACAGAGTTGTTCAGTATTCTTATGAAGTTTATAAGTTCGTCACAAACTAACAACTAGATATTGAATGCAAACTCATAAATGTTTATTATATCATGAAATCCGAAAATTAAATATGAATATGAAAACAAGAAACCGGATTGAATGACCTGAAAAAGCGGACGAATATATTATGCGAGAAATTACATTTAAAAAACATATAAATCTGTAAAATTAAAATTACTTACATTTATCTGAGAAACAATGTTTTTTAAACGATATTCAGTTTTCATTAAAGCAGATTGTATTTTCATAAATTTAAGTAGTATTTTTATCTGCGTGAAGAAACTTAAATTACGCAAAACATCATCCGAATCTATCTGCATGAAATGAATTGGATACATGATTACTGATTCACAAGTAACAAACACGAAAAATACGTTTAATGGTTAATAAAAAATTTCCAAATGACTAAACAAAACAATCACACTCGTCACAAATATCGACAAAGCTGAAATGTCCTACGCACAAAACTGAAATGATTATACACTGGAAACTACGACGAGTTGCACTTCAGAATACCAACTAAGTCAATATTTCCCATCACGACTATCTTCACTAGTTACACATATATTCAATGCAGAAAATTATACAAAAACCGATGTACACACATCAAGTGATGTGAATTTAAAATTCGTCAAATACAGACTTCCATTCTTGATTACTTCCAACTCGCAATTCACAGAATCATTATCACTCAGAGGTTTGGTAGTACTTTACTACGTTCTTCAAAAATATTCGTTTGATTTCGCTTATTTCATTCATCCAAAGGTTACAACAACTCTAGAGGTTGCTGGTTTGTATTACCATATCAAGTTGTCAATGTACCTGATCGAGCATTGTTAGTTGATATAGAATGAATAACTAGTATAGAAAATTTTTATGACAGTCAGAAATCCTAATCTAACATCTTTCTAATAATCTCTCACTTTGATTTGAGTATATGTATTTTGTTTCAGTAATATTTACGTAAAACTAAATTGTCATAGAACTGTCGTCGATGTGTACGGTTTCTATGCGGATTCATATTTTTTCCTTAGAAAATGCTATGGATACGTGAAATTGACTGAAATTATTTGCAAATCCTTATAAACATTTTACATTTGAAATGACACATGAAATTCATTGGAATTTTTGAAATGATCTAACTCACAATTTCATCCTTAAATATGTCTATAATACTTCGAAGTATCGATAGAAGACTTTTTACAATCAATGTTTGTCCTTTTCTCGTTGGCACCTCTTTTAAATCTTCTACCATCATTTCAACATCTTTCAATTTTCTCTGTATAAAAAATATTGGATACATGATTATTTTATGAACTAGTATCAGACACAACATTACCGTTATATGGTAGAGTCTCAATTCAATGTGGTCAACTAACGTAACTAAAAACAAGCGACTACATTCTTCATAAACTAACCGTATCGAATCGTCAAAAAACTTATTGATCCGTGCTAGTAGACATATGGAATAAACAAATAGTATAGAAAATTATTTATTCCACAAGTAGACCCTCCGTGGATACTGTCGGTCACAAGCTCGTATAAAGGAGGAAGCGTTGTGCGTTGGGTTGCCGCCCGTATCCTAAGTAAAAACTAACTTGCTAAAAAACGCTAACCAGAATAAATAATTCAAACCGTTTTCAATCTACCCTGAGATTCGGCAGAAGAATTATGACGTCGCGTGATGAAAGCCGAGTTCCTTCAGAATTCACCAGCTTGATGCCTGTTCTGACAATCAGTGCAACCATTTTTTTAGGTACGTAAAACGTTCGTACATTTTGGGAGACTGGGAGACCATTACAAAGTGCGGCAGAAATGAAATGATTCAAGCTCGTGGTGCTCCGCACCAGTGTAACGCACTAGACAAACGTAGGACAACTGAGA